GCAAACACAGTTCAAAGGAGGTCATTCCTCACCTGGCAGATAGAGATGGTTTCTGTGCTGTGGCCAGCAACAAAACTGCTGCACTAGTCATGACATTTCTTCCCTGTTTGCAGTCTGTGTGGCAACACAGTTGTCTGGTTTTCACTGCTTCTCTGTCCTCTGTTCTTCTGCTGTTCCTCCAGCAACTTGATTGCTCTGGCAGCTTCCCTGCATGGAGAAAAGGAGTAAATGATCCAGCACCCTTCTCCTTACTGCTCCTATATTTCCTTTTGGGGCAGTTACCCATCCACTCCTGCCTTCCCCACTAGCTTCACTCCTCTGTGGCAGTCCCACAGCTTAGGCAGTGCTGTTTGCTCTTCTTGCTCTGTCTTTTGGCATTGCTTTAAAGTTTTGTGATGGCATTGCCAGACCCCACTCATTACAGTCAATACATTTTATGTCAAAATTGGATTGTCAGACTTCACCAATCCTGGTTTCCTCTGGGTGAAGTGGCTTTAATCTGAAGGAGAAGGTAATTTTATCAGTGAGGGATCCACCTTCTATCTCTAAGTGGTTTTAACGGTGTTTAAAATACATTCTAACAACCACGTAACAACCACCATTGATCACAGTGAAAGACACAAGTGTTTGAGATTTTCCTTGCAGGCCAGATCATAGCAAATAGCATGATTATAGAAAGCCTTGCTGAAATAATCCAGGCCAGTTTCACGAAGGACTTTCGAACTCCTGCCATAGCTTTTAGCTGTTCCTTGTGGGCTGAGAGGGGAACAGCCTTGTCTAGGCTTGTTTCTTTGCTCAGTACAGCAAACATACCTGCTCAGATTGCTGTATGATGCTTCCAGTCACAAGGTGAAATAGGATTCCTTCAGCAAGACAGATCATCTCGTAGAGGGAAGGTTTTCCCTGTATTTCCGCTGCAGAGCGCAGTGAGTACAGCCTTATGGAAGTGGGAATACCTGCTTGTATGCCCAACCGAGATAACACAGGTTTCCTTCTCTCTGAACTCTTTGTATGTATTTTATATACTTGCAGCAGTGATTAAAATACACATTGCTACATGTTCTACATGCACTTAGGCCGGTTAGACTACTCACCTGCATTTCTCCAGTATGTATGTTCCTGCAGAATAACGTGGAAATCTGAGCAGGTTCAAGGAGCTTCTGCTCAAATGTGCCCAAGCATCACCTTTGATCTACACTGGGGTTCTCAACAAACACTCTGGGTTAGGAAACATGGCTGACAGAAATGTCAGCTCTGATCAGTGCCAGATTAAGGTCTGGTATTTTAGGATAAATCAGAACCGGAAATGAGATTTTTACATCCTTAATTAGAGAAGCTTCCCAGATTCCCTTTCTCCTGTACAGCCGGTGTGAGGCATGGTGGAATTTTCTTTCAGAATTTTTCTTGACTTTTCACCACTGAGAGACTCATTTACAAATATATTTAACTAAGAATAATGAAGAGGTAATGTTTTCCTCAGTACTTCCCCTCCTGTTTATCCAGAACTTCTTCCAAATTTATCCCTCTGTTACTTGCAGCATTTCCCTGCCCTGTGCATGCAGTGCACTCACACCTGAACTCTGCCTTTCCTCAGGTGCGCTGGGGTGACAAAGGCTCCACGGAAGAAGGGGCCAGGTTGGAAAAAGCAAAGAATGCTGTGGTGAAACTCCCAGAAGAACCAGAAGAACCTTTTCACCCTAAACCACCTAAACCAAAGCCTACCTCACCAGCCATGCAGCAGAAGTGGTACACGCCAATCAAGGTAATCTTTACAGTCCTTGGTATGATTTAGTATAAAGGCTGGATTCTGTCTGTCTTGCCAGCCTTACGCAGGCTGAACTGTACAGTATTTTCCAAGTGTTCCCATTCAAGTGTGATGTGCTATTCTCAAAGGGAACACCTACTCAGCATGAATGGCAGGAGCAGTTTTTAGCCCTAAATGCAGTACTTGATCATTACTGCCACATTCTGTTTGCCTTCCCCCAGAAAGGGACATATTGTACAGTGAGAGCATTAAAAACTATGAGGGCTTCCTTGGCATTTGGTTTATCTCAAAGTAGAGCTAATTAAGCCCAAAACTACACAATTTATAGCTGTTAACACTAAGTTTTAAACATGCATACTCATTACAAACCAAGAAAAGCAAAAAATTACATAAAATAATGTAATGGAAGAAATCTGACGGAAAGTGAATCGTTTTTCCTGGCTCATAATAACAGTGCCCTGAGTCACCTGCAAACCCGTCACATGCGCTTCTGACATACTGAGGGTGGGTCTGTAAATACCTTGCTTTAAGAGGTAAGAGCAGAGAACACACAGGTGTAGCAGGGAGCAGGGATACTTCTGTCTTCTCAACTCCCTGTCAGTCCTTTCTGACCCCCAGCAAGCCTGAAGCCATGTTGTCCAGACACACAGGCAAGCCCTGGAACCATCCATGTGGAGCAGGACGTTCCTGACTCGCAGCAGAGCTGGTGTGTGTCCTGCCCAACAGGGCCCGAGTATGTGCTGTAAAACAAGCACACACACGTGGGATAAACTCTATATGGACATGTGGCAATCAAGTCCAAGCCACGGCAGACCGAGCACAACTCCTAGATGGCTCCGAGCAGGGAGCAGGTGCGTTAGGCGAGTGCCCTTCCTGGCATTCCAGGTGGGCAGGAGCAGCACCGCAGCGTGCTGTGGGTGACGCAGCCCAGGCTTACACTGTGCTGACCTGGCTGTGTCCTGGCAGTCGGTGTCCCTGGGATCCCTGTGGCCAGTCCCGGTGCAGGTGAGGTGTGCTCCCCGCTGACAGACGCCCGTGCTGTCTCCGCAGGGCCGGCTTGACGCGCTGTGGGCGCTGCTGCGGCGGCAGTACGACAGAGTCTCGCTGATGCGGCCCCAGCAAGGAGACGAGGTTGGTGTGTGGCGCGGGGCGGGCAAGGGACGGCTGGGCTGGGCAGCTCTGGGCACGGCAAGAGACAGACAAAAGTGTGGCACTGCAGGAAAGTAACACACTGGGCAATCACTGCAGTGAGAGGTGCATCACACTGGCCTGCAGACATGGCACCAATGCAGATCTCCCAAAGGCAGAGGGAATGGTGGTGGGAGCTGGAAAACAGCAACACAGCCCACACCTCATGCAGGGTAATAACTCTGTGCAGACACCCAAATCTCTCTCAGAACCAGCTGGCTGTAAGAGCAGAGGCTGCCTATCAGCATGCTAAAACTGGATCAAATTTATGTGACACCGGTAACATCCATGCAAGTTACTTCCTGGAGGTTTGCACTTCCATACCAAAGGCACCTTTCACAGAACAAAAGGTGAGGAAATGTGTTTCTCAGACCATCCTTTCTCCTGAGACACTTGTGACCCTGGAAAAAGAGGCCTCCCCCAAAGGCTGCTCTGATGGGGATGCAGAGCTGCTGTTTGCACCTTTGATAGTGAAGTGAGGCCAGACTGGGTATTTCTGATGGCTGGTCCTTAGAAGATTATCACTTTGAATGTCAGCAGTTATCTTGGGGACTGATTGATCACCAAGGCATTTCACATCTCCTGGGATCACTCAGCTTGCTGGTTGTGGCACCTGGGAAGAGCCACAGGAACAAATGCTTCCCTTTAAATGGGATGGCAAGAGATCACAATCACAAGTACCACAGAGCACAAGTGTGCAGGAACCTTGTTTATGCAACATACAACATAAAGGTGACATAAAAGAATGAGAGGGGTTAAGGGGGAGGAGTTACCTATGGTAGAATGGGAGGTAATGAGAATTTTGATTATTTTCCTGGTATGAAGTTCAGTGCTGTTGTAAAGGAAGAAAAGGTGAGAATTAATTAAGACAACTGGTGGAAGCAGCAGAATGGCCAAGTGTTAGCATTCTTACCTTGGCTAGTTATTCACTGTATACATGAAGGATGCGTGTGACATGGAGCAGCATTAACAACAGCGAATCTACACACCAAATACCTGGCACAATACAGTTTAACAGGTAAACTCAATGTAAACAGGAACACAGCAGAAGTGGTGCCTGAAAAGGCTAAAAAAAGTGTCAGTCGGGCCCTGTTTTGGGGATTTCTGACCCTAAAAGGCAGGGAATTACTGTAAGGATTGCCTTTAGAGAAGGCTTTGCTGAGCCATTGTGCAGTCAGACACCTGACTTCTCTGGGCCTGACAGGAGGAACACTGGCTAGCACCCTGGTTTGTGGAAAACAGAGAGACAGCTCTTAGAAAAAGGAGTGGGATTTGTACTAACCAAATGGTGGGTCGGGTGTGACCTGTGGCACTGCAAGAGTGCCGTTTCTGTCTGCATGGTGTTGAGTATCTTAGGGAAAAAATGACATATTTTTCCTTGCTCCTAAGGTGCTGGGTAGGGATGCCATGGTGCACCCCTGAGTTTGTGTCAGTGCACGTGTGTGCTCGGCGAGACACGCAACACTTACCTTGGAAACAGCAGTCATGGAGTTGTTCTATTTAATCTTCCTTCTTTTACTGTTGAAGAACTCAGTACTTCCATTTGTAGAAGAATTCATTGCTGAATTTGAGTCCTTGATCAAGCAGTTGCAATTTAGGCATGAAGTATCAAAGCAGAGCAAGCTGTTCCTGCCTCCCTGTCCTGTCCCACTGGTGCCACGTGCCCGGCGGTGCCGAGGGTGGCTCGGAGCACGTGCTGCTCTGGGAGGCTCTGATGGTGGCTGAAGTCCTCCGAGCCACGCTGTTTGAGGCAGGCACGGCACAGGTGCGAGCGGGCAGGTTGTGGGCACAGCTGTGGCGGGCCCGGCGCCGTGGGAGCGCGGGCGGCGGCAGCTGCAGAAGCGCGTGGGGCAGGTCGGGGCGGCGCGGGGCCCGGGGGCCCGAACACCAAAGGTAGCGTGGGGTGGACACAGCTGCGCTCCCCAGCTCGCCTCAGGCACAAACACAGATCCAATGCAGGCTGCCTGTGCTGGGGCTGAGGACACGCAGCCACTTCAGAGACAGCTGCACGCCGCGGCAGCTGCCGCCGAGCTCCCGGCGAGGCACAGGGACAGCAGGTACGGAGCGAGGTCCCCACAAACTGCCTCCATTTAAGCCACCAATGCTTTTGAAGGGCTCCCATCAAACAGAGCGAGTCCGCAGCAGGAGATTTCGGCTGCAGAGCCATGTGTTGTTTTCTGCACTAACAAGGTAATTTATAAATGATGCATTACCCTGCGTCCATGCTCCTAGCTAGACTTTCTTCTTTTTTTTATTAAAGGGGCAAAGAAGACTAAGCCACAGCAGTTTGGGGTACTCTCATAAACCAGTTCAGCGTCTAGGGGTCTGTACCAAACCCCTCTTCCCAGGAGTCTAGGGCTGCCTGGGAACACAGCCTCACGCAGAGTCACAGCATCAGCCCCAGGGTTCTGGTCTTTCCTCTAAATCCTTGTATTTATTTTCCAACTCATAGTTTAGCACCAAAAGGTGATCAGGGTTCTGGATTCTTTGAGCTTGTCGCAATACGATGGTGGCTGAGACTCTGATCCTGTGTGCATTTATGCACACAAATTTTTAAGTCCACAAATAGCCTGTGGCAGTTGTAGTGAAGATTTTGCCCTATCAGGGTGCAAATAGGTGCAACGGGTAAAAAGGGAAAAAGGATTATAGCTCATTCTGAAAGAATCAGAATAGAGTAGAAGTGAGGAATGCTTTCAGCTGGTACTTTCATGTACAAAACAGCCTATTAAAAAGGAAAACACTTGTACTTGTTTTTAGTTTTAAGCCTATTAGTATTTGCTTTAAAGGTTCTTTGCAGTTAATGGGTACAGAGTTAACACAAACATCTGTTTAAACTGTTACTTTCTGAGCATCTCTGCATTACACAAAAGCATTATATTCTGCATGGTGACTGCCACCAGCACTACCTGCAGTGTGAGAGACACTGACAGCGCTGAGTCCTCTGAGGTGGGGACATGTCACCAGTTACCTTTGTGGTTCTTCTGCACTTCCTCCTCTAGTTTCCTTTTTAATCACTGCAAAATGGTGAAATGCACAGAGAAATAACAAGTTATCTTTAGTATGTTCATATCAAGTAATCTCGGAGAAAGATTACTGTAGCTGCTTACAGGTAGTGCACTTCCCAGACTGAAAATCTAAGTGCCCCAGCAGTAACTGATGTTACAGTGGAAGAATCAGTTCACTTCTTGTTCAGTGGTAGTTTGGTGGTGTGTATTCAGTGAAAAGGGGAAATTATTATGCTCAAGAAATTGTCGACTGAGGGTTTTAAAAAAGAAACTTCAGTAGCACTTAGCCAAGTCAATGTTTACATTGGATCTTCTAAATTGCTGCAATTGCAAGGAGATGCAAAACTAAGTATGAGAAGGAAGCTGGAGCACCACTTTCCCTTAAATGTTTCCTGCTAAAATATTGCCACTGCCATTTGTTAAGTGGTTATTTGTTTGTATAGACTGGAGAGCTTAACTGGCACAAAAATGTCTCTTAAACTTCCAGAATAGACCTGTATTACTGTTAAAATTCTTCAGTTCACAGTTAGAGCAAGTGGAGGAAAGCACCTGTAAGAGTATTCCTTTCTGTCTGCCCTGTTCAGCCAGAGTTCAGGATTGGTCCCCAGCACAAAGTGATGCATCCTGATGAGTGAAGCACTGCACTAAATACCAGAAAATATTTGTCCTGTGGCCTCCCTAAAGGAAAAAAGTCCTCTTCTGTGGAAGACACACCCGCCCCTTTAGTTAAAATAGTGACTGACAGGCAAGAGATTAACACAGTTATCAATCATGAATTTACCAGAGTTCTGTTGTGCTGAAGGGCCAAAAGAAGCCTGGATCCGAACCATGTGGATAGCAGTGCTTCCTCCAGAGGGATGCTCCTGGTCAGTGGAATCATGGCCTCACCCTGTGACCTGGGCTGAGGCTGCCCTCAGGAGGGTCCGGCCTGGTGGCATCATAGGTGCTCATCCCGGCAGGAGTGGCTCTTCTCATAGAAGCTGGGTTTGCTGTCAGTCCGTGGAAGTGGGAGGGACCATCCTGCTGAAGAGAGGATGTTGTGCTGGTGTCAGGAAAAACAGGGATATTTTCCAAACTACATAGGCAGCTGCTCTTGGCACTGCCTTTCTTGGTGCAGATGAGTCTGCTGCTCTCTTTAAAGGAGCCTTCGGGACTCATCCCTCTGTGAACACTGGTAGGAGTGAGAGGAGGAACAAACAAAGCTGCTGGTCGGTTCTGAGGCCATGGCAGCACAAGGTGGTGCCCATGGAGAAAGGAACATCAGTGCTGGCTGGAGCACGGATGTGCCAAAGCTGTCACACACCTTCCTGCCACTGCACGGGCAGTGCAGCCCGCCAGGCTGAGCTGAAGGAAACCTTTCTGTGGGCAGGGCAGGGGCTGGTAATCACGGTGTGTTTCACTGCGTGAAACAGGGAACAGACATTTTATTTCTTAATTCCTCATAACACCCTTTTTGTGGAGCGGGTTGCAGGAGAGACTGATACACCAGGCCTGTGCCCCTACCCAGATTATTCCTCCCCATGAACTGCCAAGGCAGGGCAGCTGTCCGAGCGGCTGGCTGGGATTTGGGAATGGCTGCTGAGCTAATCTCCAGGCTTTGCAGATGAAGGAGGCAGCAGATAACAGGATTAAAGTTTCCCGACCCGGGGTTTTCACAGCCTGAGACGCGGGTGGAGGGGGAGACAGAATGACTTCTGTCATTAATCTTAATTGATTGCCAAGAGGTTTTTAATCTGGGTTATTAATTAGGAAGGTCCTTAACACACTGTCTACATATCAACATGAGATGCTCTTTTGGGACTTTGGGGACATATGGCCTATCTATATTTACATTCACACAATTTACACATACATACATCGCTGTATGGGCAGCCGCTCACACGGATACACTCACACGGAGAGCCGGGGAAGTGTTTGCATTCACACACTCCTCAGCGAAATGCGGTGGAAATGAAAAAACACCTTGCGCAGGGGTTACAGTCCCACCTCTGCTTATGTTGATGCCTATATTAATCCAGACCAATTCTATGTGCCATTTATCTAGATTAGCATTCAAATAGCAATCTTGGGTTTGCAGATTTAAGTGAGAGGTCCCAGCGCTTCCAGAGTGACCTGGGTTGTTTTGAAAGGTTCAAACTGTGGTTCGACGGCCATTTGGGGGAGATCAGTACAAACACTTGATAAAACAGGGACAGGTGATGATGGAAGTAAGTGACCAGAGCCAGAGAGGCTCTGGGATGGGAGACAGTGACAGAATGAGGTGAACAGAACTAGGCTGGTTTTCCTGAGACTTCACCAGGCTCTGCTCCTCTAACCAACAGCAAAAGCATGTGAAAACACCTTGGAAATACTATTTTTAGAAAGCAAGAGTTTCTGTATCACCTGGCAGGTGTGGTGTCACCTGCCAGAGCTGTGGCAGCCCCAAGCTCGCCCACTCACTCAGGGTGAGCTGGAGTTCAGAGGATGCTCAGAGGTGCCCACCCAGACCCTCCCTGTCCCAAATGGGGACTCAAGAGCCTGCAAGCAGTTGCACATGTTAGTCCTTTTGTGCATGCACATTTTCTCATCAGCTTTAATACAACCTTAGCCAAAAGAAGGCAGGCTGTTCCCTTACAGCTCTTCAAAAGCTGGGAAGGACCACAGCACACATGCTGCTGGATGTGACAGCTACATAGCAGGGGCAGACAGTGGGGAGAGAAAGAAGAGCGCTCAAAAATTATATTTATTGCTTCTGGTCTTTTTACTGTAGTCCTATAATTCAAAGTTATTTTTGTTCTGAAATCAGTTTTTGCATGTCTAAGTCCGTTCTGAACTATGGATCCATAAAGCCTTAACAAAAAGCCCTGAACATTTTAGTTGCTGACATTTTAAACTGGCTGAGTCTTACTCTGCCAGAACATTTCTTGACTGCTGAGCTTTCATGTGTTCTGTTACAGCCTCCTGTATTTTAAACGCAGGCTCCAAGGAAGTTAGTGCAATTAGCAGTGATTGAGTTCCTAGTGCTACTGTCACTGAGAGTCTGTGGGTGCACACAGGTCTGTCCCTGCCCAGTCACTCCAAAATCTGTAACCGGTTGTGACTGGTGGGCAAACGCTACATGAGATCAGTTCAGGTGGGCTCAGCTCCCTGCCAGGCTCCAGCCGCAGCTGGACAGGTGAGCGGGACAGGAGGAGCAGTGTCCCTGACCCGCGGACTCGGATGGGGGACACGACCCTTGGGATGGGAACACAAGCCTCTGGATGGGTGACACAGCCCTCCTCGGACAGCGCTTCCCCGCCACGGCACTGCAGGTGCTCTGAGGCTCAGGATTGCTCTTTCTTAGATCATGGTTATTTCTCATACACATT